GGTGGCTTCTCTCTTGTGTGTAGTCACAGAACCACTTCCCAGCCACCAGGAGTTGGGGAATGTGGAACAGTACCGTGGAGTTCTTGTGAGATCTGTCTTCGTGTGCCTAGAGAGGATGCTTGCGTCCGACGCGTCCGTCTGCTCTTTCTCTCACGTGCTTACGCCCGGCATGTGAAGCTGCTTGTCAGACAAACGCTTGACACCGGCTTTGGCTGGACTGTCTGTGAGCTTGCGTCTCACCTCTGTGACCTGAGTACAGTCCCATACGGAGCAGGGCAGGATTCCCAAAACGGTTGTAAATTTCCCGGGAAGTTCCCGGGCTCTCACCATGATGTTGGTTTGAAAGTTGATAGCAAAGCGCTGCCTTAGCTAAGGGTATCTGAGGAGACCCTCGGGTCTCTTGTTTTTCCATTTGCATGCCTATCGCCGCGCCAGAACGCAGATGTTCCGAACGAGGGCCTCCTTTGTGCAGTGGAGACAGGGCCGGCCTTACCATGAGGTGAACTGAGGTGGCTGCCTCAGGGGCCAGACTGGGGGGGGGGGGTGCCACTAGGACCCAGAGAATCGAGACCTTTCAAAGTTTTGGTCCAAGCAAGGGGGAATGGGGCATCGTTTGAGCTCCCCACCTCAGGTGCCAGGACGTTGTGGGCCGGCCCTGACTGGAGACCATGGAATCAAGAGCTGTGCACTGCTGAGGGAGTGAGCGTGGCAGAAATGAGATGCGTGGCCAGGCATGCTCTGTCCAGACCGAGACGTGATCTGGCTCCTCGCTTGCACCTCTGGGGGAGGGCCTAGGAGAGCAGCGCACTGCGAAGGGCGGCCTCCGGCCACTCGTTGCCTGTAAGCAGAGATGCAGCCTCAGAGACGGCAGGTCCCGGCATGCGTTTTGGCTCAGATCAAGGTGGAGCGTTGCAAGCTGGGAGGTGCAGTCCCTGTGCTTTAGGGAAAAGGAGCCTAGTGGTCAGTCCCAAGCAGCTAGCGCTGTCGTGCATCACGTGGGCACCCCCTAATTTCCCATGGAAAATAGCACCTCATTTTCCCCGAGAGCTGGCCAGACTGCGGCCAGCAGACTGGCCTTCCAGACCAGTACCAGCTTTCTCTTCCCTTTTCTTCTGTGGAGAAGGCGGCGACGTTAGCCTGTCGCCGCTTTCTGGAGTGACTCCAACTGGGAAATGCAGCTGAGGGTCCTGTGTCGAGCCAGGCACGCTTTGGAAAAACGGGCTCCGAACTCAGGCTCAGTCTGCCCCCCCGGGAAAATAACCATTCCATCGGGTGACCCGCTGGTGCATCTGTAAGGGTCGCTTGCCTCTTGTGTCTGTCACTAGCGTAGCCTGTGGTGGTGGTGTCCTCATCGGTGAATTTGTTTGTTTGTGCTGATTTTTAAACTCCTTTTATCTTCAGTGTAGCTAGAAGAAGAAGAAATTCTGAATGACGTTTTCCTCCCTCTGATCTTTTACAGATTTTTCTCCATGTTGCTATGCCTTTTCCGTAAGCTTTTTTGCTTGCTTGGCTTCTCCTAATCAGTCTGGAATCATACTCCATGATCATCTCTTCATTAAGTGTAATGGGTTTATTAAATGTAACCAATTTTTTTTTAATATTAGAAAACGGAGATAGGCAACACCAGCAAAATCTTATAAGAAAAACAATTGCTCTGAACTTTAGAAACCAGGAGGGAAAAAAAAACCAATCATCTGTCATAAGTCTACAGTGAAACCGAGAATACAACATTTTCAAAAGGCTGTTTTAAATATTAATGTCTGAGTGATTGTATTAGATCAGCAATAAAGACTCTGTAATCTCAACACACAAATAAAATGTTGCAAAATGATCGTGGCCTCCAGCATGTGTCCCTGTGATAGGCCCTGGAGAGGTCTGGGAACAGGAGGCGCTTTCTACCCTCCTGGCTCTTGTGACCGCCAGGAAACGAGATGTACCTGTCCTCGTCTCTGACGTTTCTATTTGGTACTTGTCACACGGCAAGCTGAAGGGCAGGGCAGAGCCAGTAGGCTCAATGCCTGTGTTGGCCATTAATGTTCTCTTCTAGCCTGTAAGTATGTCCAGTGCCAGTCAGTTGCTTAAAGATATGGCCGGAGTCCGCTTGTTTCTAAATGTAACGGTCAGTTCACCCTGGCCTCGGCCGTAGCCACACCTTGCAGTGCCACTACGAGGGATGTTAACGAACGAGTGTGTGTGTGTGTGTGTGTGTGTGTGTGAATGTGTCACCACTGGAATTTGTAGCGGTGACATGTTTACACGCAAAGGGGGGGCAGGTGGGATAAAGAGGCAGCAGCGCGGGGGGAGGGGACAGGCGGCTTTGCGGGAGCCAGCTTAAAAGCCAGCTCCTTATGGGCACTGGCTCCCCCCTCTCCCCTCCCTCCCATTTGCTGCCTCTGATAGAGAGACAGCGGGGGAGGGGTGCTGTGTGTAGTCGTTAGGGTTAACTGATGAGCCCAGGCTTATCGGTTAATCATGTGAACGACTACACACAAACATCCCTAGCCAGTACTAGTGGGTTTGTAAAAACTTCAGCTGCTAGAAATTGCAGATTCCTCTCCTGAGTTAGCAGGATCAGGCTTCCGATCACAGCCCTGCTCCCTGCTTTTCATTGTCTCAGACCCTTCTGCGCCTTCCTCCCAGCCCCTTTGCTCTGGGGGTCCCTACCCCTAACGCCACCTCGATTATGTAGACAGCACCCCGGGTGCGCAGGGCGCTTTGCAAACGAACGCAACGGCTGCCTGCTGCAATCTATGTTGGTGTGTGGGGTGGGAGAGGACGAGGGTAGCCGCAGCCAGGCCAGGGAGAAAGCTGCCCCGGTGCCTTGGTGGTTCATTGTTTATAGAAGGCGCTGGGTGCTGCAGGCAGAGCCGCAGAGGAGGGCAACGGACAGTTTTCGTAATTGTCTTTTCCTGGAGAAGGTTGGAAAAGGCACAATACAAATCCGGGAAATCTTTGTGTCCTTGTCACTCAAAACCTGTGGGGCAGATTTGCTTCAAGATTTACAGCAACAGTCTTCTCGGCCATCGGGGTGGATGAGACAATTCTCAGGCCAAAGCTCTTCTCCAAGCCAGACCCACAATGTTTTATACTGAAGCGTGGGTTGCAGCCTGCGTGCTGGTCACACTTCCACCCCTCCGCACAGCACAGCAGCCCACAGCTGTTTGCAATGGCCTGTGAGCCAGGATTTGAATCCTTGAAGGAGGAAGGAGAGAGGCTGTTCTCAGTGGGGGCAGATGGCAGAACGAGGAGCAATGGTCTCAAGTTGCAGTGGGGGAGGTCTAGGTTGGATATCAGGAAAAACTCTTTCTCTAGGAGGGTGGGGAAGCCCTGGGGTGGGTTGCTTAGGGAGGGGGTGGAATCTCCATCCCTAGAGGTGTTTAAGTCCTGGTTTGACAAAGCCCTGGCTGGGATGGTTGAGTTGGGGTTGGTCCGGCTTTGGGCAGGGGGCTGGACTCTGATTCCTGAGGTCTCTTCCAGCTCTATGATTCTGGCTACCAAGTTTCCCATCCCCTGTATGTTGTGCGGAGAGATTGGAATCATTCGGTAGAGAAGCTGTCTGAGTGGAGCTGGAAATTGTTTTGTTTAGACGGCTCTTGGGTCTTCTCCTGTTCCTGTTCTGTCTTTGGTGAAAACAAGCTAAATTGTGTCTGAAAAAATCACGCTATCTTGTTTGGCGCCCATTCTGTCACCTCCCTTAGCAGGCCTTTTGCAAACACTCAATGTTGATACAAGACCCAGAAAGATAACAGGAAAATACAGATTAAAAAGGATGAAATTTCTTCCAGCCCTTCCCCCATACACCCGGTTCTTCCAGCTCTTCCTGTGGAAGTCACTGGGCCTGGTCAGCTGAGTAAAGGGTTTGTTACCCGTTGTGTTCGTGCCTGAAAATCAGTTGCTATGTTTAGAACATAGGAACGGCCATATTGGGTCAGACCAAAGGTCCATCTAGCCTAGTGTCCTGTCTGCCGACAGTGGCCAATGCCAGATGCCCCAGAGAGAATGAACAGAACAGGGAATCCTCACATGATCCGTCTCCTGTCCTCCATTTCCAGCTTCTAACAACAGAGGCCAGGGACACCATTCCTACGCATCCTGGCTAATAGCCACTGATGGACCTAACTTCCATGAATTTATCTTTGCTGAACTCGGTAAAAGACTTAGCCTTCACAACATCCTCTGGCAAGGAGTTCCACAGGTAGATTGTGAAGAAATGCTTCCTTTGTTTTAAACCTGCTACCTATTAATTTCTTTTGGTGACCCCTAGTTCTTATGTTATGAGAACAGGCAAATAACTTTTCCTTATTTACTTCCTCCACACCAATCATGATTTTATAGCCCTTAGAATCTCGGCAAGGGGCATGCAGTGAAGAGCTTCTACCTCCCTCCTGCTGTGTTCATTTTGTTCTGGGATCTCTGTCTCTTTTCCTACATGCTGCTGATTAAGTTATGGGTGAGCTCCATTATGTCTCTGGAAGGGGTGATGCCTTTCCACTATCTCTGATTCCAAATCTAGCCCCAGATAACCGTGGTTTCAGATGTGTAGAAAATCCTCTGTAGCCATCTATCTTCTCCACGAGGCCTGACTTTCAAGCACTGTCCCAAATCGTTACTAAGGAGGACAGGTAATAAACTCTCTTTACCTGGGTTATTGTGGTTTTAACCTTATGTCCACAGTCGCTTTGGCACCCTCAAAAGCAGGAGTGTTGAACATCCTCCCAACACTGTCCCAAACTGCCTGGAAGTGACCAGTCACTAGAAAACATGGCTCCTTGGCTCTGCAAAGTTGACATCCCCTGATGCTCTGATTCTGTGATTCTGACAGGAAAGGAAGGGTTTAATCCCACTGCTGCTGGGCCTTAGGAAACGGACGATGAATGTGAGTGTGATGTAGTCCCCAGCAGCGCTGCTCTAGGAAGGCCTAGGACTAGTCCCTCCCGGGAACCAGCTGAGCCAGCGATGGGCAACCGAGGCTGGTGAGTGGCCGCAAGATTGTTGTCACCAAGACGCTCTCCCAGGATCGGGTAGTTTTGCTCACTGCACTTGCGTAGCTAGAATGTGCGGGGGGTGCCAATTGCACCCTAGCAGCGCTGGGACTGGCTGCAGAGGGAGCGCCCGGCGCTCACATTCACTGTTGTAGCAATCAGCCTGCTCCTCACTCGACACACACGGGCGGGTCACTTCAGTAATAGTGGTAGGGAAAAACTGACACTGACAAAACCCAGCAGAATCTGGCAGCCCTGCGTGTGGACAACAGTAAACAAAATGTCTCGTAGGCTGCACGTAGAGCCCCAATGGGCCGCAGGCTGCCTGCCACTGCGCTAAGCTCTGGAAGCCTGGAGTGGGGGGGGTTGGGGTTTGTCCTTTCTCTGAGCACTGGAAGAACATTTCATTTTGGCAATGGGCAGGCAGCCAGAGACCCCTGGAAGACTCACAAGGGCAGGATCAGGTCCCCTGTCTGGTCAGGCAAAATCCTGCAGAACTCATTTGGAAATGTCTGGAATGTGATACAACGATGCTGAATAGTCTCATTCCTCGGCCAGAGAGATGCTGTGTCACCGTGGACGCTGCTTTCTCCACTACAGACCTTCCCGTCCTGCTCCCAGAGTGCTTTGCAGCACTGTGAAGAAAGCGTGGTCTCCTTTTACAGCTGGGGAAACTGAGGCACGGAGCCACACAGTGACTTTGGCAAATAGTCTAATTCTGTTTTATATTTCTTCAGTCGCTATTACTGCTCTGTCTGTGGAAAGACACAAGGGGCAGTTCGCATCCCCACGGCGCTTGCAGTCCATTCCTAGCCAAGGAAGATGGTAGACAACTACTGGCAATAAACACTTTTAAATCCACCCGAGTAACTTGCCCCCAAATGCTCAAAATGAGTTGGAGATCTCTCGCCGCCTGCTGTTCATTTTTAGTAAGTATTGGAGCCGGGGCAATTCCAGAACACTGGTAGAAAGCTAATGCTGTGTCGGTACTCAGGCAGAGCCGATACAGGACTCTAGATAAAGAATTAATGAACAGGAATATAATTAATGACAGTCGACATTGTTTTATGGAAAACAGGTCTTGTCAAACAAACCTGATTTAATGCTTGGGGGTTTGAAATTAGATGCAACATATAAAGGCTTTTGAAAGGTGTTTGACTTAGTACCCCACGACAGTCTGATCAGAATTGGCAGTCCCCCGTAGTAAGAGAGCACATGTTAACTGGAGTAAGAAGTGGCTAACGGAGCTCACTCTGTAGCTGTCACTGGAGAATCACCCGCTCGGGTGTTTTGGGGGGGAGGTTGCAGCGATTGGTATTTGGACGGCTTCTGTGCAATATTTTCAGCAATGGGCTGGAAGCAGTGTAAAAGTGCTGCTGATAAAATCAGTGGCTGACACACAGACTGGCCAAGTAGCACAAGAGGTCAGGAATTCGTACGGAGCCAAATGCAATTTGCCTAGGTCTCAACAAAGATGCTAATTTCCTTACCCATTACAAAGATAGCTTCCCCAATTATCACCTCTAATATCATTAGCTCAGACATTAACCTCCCCACCTCATCCCCCCTCTGTTCTGAAATTTGATTTGTCCTTTTTATACGTGTTCACTTTTTTTGATTGTATCCCTTTGGTATATATGGTCATGCCAATTTTCTTCCACAATTTGATCTGAGGAAGCGGGTCTGGCCCACGAAAGCTCATCACCTAATAAACCATCTTGTTAGTCTTTAAAGTGCTACATAGTCCTGTTTTTTGTTTCAGCTACACCAGACAAACACGGCTACATCTCTATTTCTCTTGGAACAAGGCATGGAGACCATGGCGGATGGGAAAGTCGTGCCTTTGAAAAAGCTGTACAGGGGTCACAAGGGACAAGCTTCCAGGTGGGTGATGCTGTGGCAAACTGGGCTAGTGTGTTGTGGGGTCTATAACAGTGCTCAATAGGTAAGGAAAGAGATGCAAACAATGTTAATGGGGGGTGATTAGGGAAGTGGTGGGTTCTCCATCTCTTGGTGTTTTCCAATCAAGACTGGAAGGTGTTTTTGTCAAACACAAGTGGAGGGGAAAATGTAATGGCTGGTACTGTGGAGGTGACTTCACATAACCTGGTGCTCCCCTCTGGCCTTAAAATCTAGGGGTTTCCCAAAGACACACACAACATCTCCATCAGAATGAAGGCGGGATCCAAGATCAACGGACGGGGGGGGGGGGCCGGTTGAGAAGTTAAACTGAGATCCCCTCTGCTCCATGTTTTTATCGCCACCTTGGCCATTTGGACTGAAATTTCTGCCCGTCCAGTTCTGCGATGCCCTTCTGGCTTTCAGCTTCCAACCACAGGCAGCTGTTGTGACGGGACGGACTGAGTCCCTCTGGTTCACAAAGGGCTTGGGAACCCGGCCTGAGGAAAAGTGCTGTGGCCACAAGGGAGAAAAAGCCTAACCCTGTGACGCCCTGTCTCCCCTTTCACACGCCCTGGCGTCTGCCTCGTTTCCACCACTGCCCTGAGAGTGAATCCTGCTCTGCGGTGGCCCTGTCTCTAACTCCTGCCACATCCCACCTGCTGCCACAGGCCTTCTGTCCCTGGGGGCAGCAACCTCCCTCCTTCCCCTTAGTGCCCGCGGCCTTTTCACACCGTCCCAGCTGAGGCCCCAGCCTCTCCCATGAGAAGAGCCACACTGGGTCAGACCAAAGGTCCATCTAGCCCAGAGTCCTGTCTGCCGACAGTGGCCAATGCCAGGTGCCCCGGGGAGAGGGGACAGAACAGGGAATCAGAACAGGGAATCATTAAGTGATCTCTCTCCTGTCACCCATTCCCATCTTCTGACAAACAGAGGCTAGAGACACCATCCCTACGCATCCTGGTTAATAGCCATTAATGAACCTAACCTCCATGAATTTATCTAGCTCTATGTTGAACCCTCTTCAAGTCCTGGTCTTCACAACATCCTCTGGCAAGGAGTTCCCCCCAAAAAACCCCTTCCTTTTATTTGTTTTAAACCTGCTACCTATTCATTTCCCTTAGAGACCCCTCATTCTGATGTGATAGGAACAAGGAACTTTGCCTTATTCACTTTCTCCACACCTGCCATGAATTTATAGACCTCTATCATCTTCCCCCTTAGTCTTCTCTTTCCTAAGCTGAAAAGTCCCAGTTTTTCTCTCTCCTCATGGCACCTGTTCCAAGCCCCTCATCATTTTCGATCCCCTTCTCTGAACCAAGGTGCCTTTTGTGAGCGGAGGCGCCCACCCACCTGCAGGCAGCATCCAAGCTGTGGGCGAACCGGGGATTCATACAAGATCCCCTCTGCTCCTTTACCCTCCCCTGGCTGCAGCTTGTCCCCCAGCCCAGGGCCAGACCACATGGTCTAGTGGTCACCCCA